TGGGCTTCAGTAGGTTTGGCCCTTGGGCTCAGGAGTTGTGGCTTCCGGGCTCCAGAGCGCAGACTCGGCAGTTGTAGCGCACAGGCTTAGTCGCCCTGCAGCATGTGGGATCTTCCCAGACTAGGGATTGAACCCGTGTCTCCTGCACAGGCAGGCGGATTCTTTATCACTGAGCCACCAGGGAAGCCCCACTGAGGATCTTTTAAATAAAGGTTTGTGGAGACCATTCTAAGCTGCCTTTAAACTGCTTCCCGAATGCCAGGACATCAACTTTCCCGGAGACAGAGCCCTGCACAGGTTTTTTTTCCTCCCCGGCTCTGCCCACCTCTCCTGGGTAACTGGCGCTTCTACAGGAAACGATTCAGCCGTGAGGTCTGACAAGGCATGGCTGCTCTGTGCTCTGGGCTGTTAGTGGTCAGGCTCCAGCAACAGGGAGCATCATCACCTTTGGGAAAGGAACACGCCTTAATGCTCAAGCCACGCTGGGAGTGACACAGCCTTGCAGAACGACAGGTAAACCCAGCCCTCATGGAGAACTAGCGAGAAAAAGGGCAAATCTGCATCTTCTGACTCCTCCGGAGGCAAAGTGGAGAGGAGGTGAGGCTTTAAACACAGCTTTCAAGCCCCGATGCAGATTTAGCCAGCTGAGTTGAGCTGGTACCTGAGGACAAGGGGCTTGGCTAGATGCCAGAAATCCTTGGTCTCAGGATGCCATAAGGCATCTGCTTCTTTCCTCTTCCTGGAGGACCTTTTTATTCTGAGACTCTTTAAAAATAGCTCTGGGCAATTTTCAAAGACTCATCGTCATTAAAGGGGTGTTAGATCACACAATCTATGCAAACTCAAAGCACAGCGGGGATTTTCCAGCCACCTGCCCACAGGAAGGGGGAAGTAGAAGAGGGCTCCCAGCACACGGAGCTCCCAGGATGGTGTGGAACTCTCCAGAAGGCAGCCTCGGAAGGCTGGGCTTTCCCGCGAAGGGACCCCGATGGGAAACGCACACACGTCCTCAGGCAACAACACTCGCTCAGTTCCCTGAGAACACACTGGAGGTGGGCACTCCACCTGGGGCCTCCCCCGACCCGGCAGCTAGAGGCCTGGAGTCAGGACACCTTCCTTCCCTGGAGATGGAAACGCAAGCTGGGCTGTGGTATTTTTGCTTCAAGTCCCAACAAACGATTCGTGAGCTCAGTGAAGAAAATAGTGCATCTTTCTCCTTGTGACAAAATCATATCTTACCCTCTTCAGTTCCACCCTCCCTTCCATCAACCACCACCGAGCTTTTGCAAGAATTTAAAGAGCAGATGCCCACCTCGTTTGCCCGCAAGCGTCTCTCCTGACCCAGATGGCCTGTGACTATAACGAAAGTGGCGATTGGTTTTGACAAACTAAAGTGATTTCAATGATGAGATTACATCTACACCAGAAGCCGTCCCAGCTGCTTGAGCTCCGTCACAAACTCCATTGGCCACACTGGTCTTCAAATGGCTTTGAATGTTACCAAAAACTCCAGGGAGCAAGTACTGCCCCTAGTTTCTGCAGAGATTCACAACAATGTGTCACAGAACTCCAAAGAACATGGTCAAATTCGTTCACGCATTGACCGAGTTATGCCGTATGCCAAGGGAACAGCATCCATGTGTATCATCATGTATATGGAATTTGACAGAAAAAAAGTCAGTTTCATTACTATGTCTCTTGTGGACTTTATAAAGTCTGTGGACTCAAAAAAGAAAAACAGTACTAGAGGGGCTTCCCCAGTGGTGCTACTGGTAAAGATCCTGCCTGCCAATGCAGGAGACGTGGGTTCCACCCCTGGGTCGGGAAGATCTCCTGGAGAAGGAAATAGCAACCCACTCCAGTACTCTTACCTGGAAAATCCCATGGACAGAGGAGCCTGGTGGGCTACAGTCCATGGGGTCGCAAAGAGCTGGATACAACTGAAGCAACTTAGCACACACCTCTATGTGAAGGGCCCACTGTTTGACATCTAAAAAAAAACTGGAAAAAAATCACAAACGTTGATGTGTCTTACCAGGTTCTACCATAACACACTAGGTGCTTTAAAATTTTATTCTATCAGAAAATGTGAGCTATATTATTACTCGGCTGTTAAAAAAACACAAAAAGAAATGAAACAACACCATCTTCAGCCACATGATTGACCTAGAGATTATCATACTAAGGGAAGGAAGTCAGGGAAAGACAAATACCATATGATGTCACTTAGACGTGGAATCTAAAATGTGATGCAAATGAACTTATTTACAGAACAGAAATGGACTCACAGACATAGAAAACGAACTTGCAGTTGCCAGTGGGGGAAGTGCGAGGGGGAGGGATAAGTTAGGAGTTGGGAACTAACACATACACAGTCCTATATATAAAATAGACGACCAACAAGGACCTACTGAATATCACAAGGAACTATGCTTGATACTTTGTAATGAGCTATAAAGGAAAAGTATCTGAAAAGAATATACATACATGTTATATATATGAACACATATGTATACATATAACTGCATCACTCTGCTGTATATCAGAAAGTAACACAATATTGGAAATCAAACATACTTCAATAAAAAAAAAAGATGAGGGAAGATACGCATTTTCATAGACTACTGGGGGGACGATAAATTGTGCTGCCACGTGGGAATACGGTGGTCATTTTCAATTTCAGATAAATGTCACTTTTATCCCAATTGTTGCATTTCTCAGTATTTCTGCAGGAGTAACAGCAACATGTAGGGACAAGAAGAATACAGCAAGCTAATCACTACAGCCTCAGAGCTCAAAGCAAAAATGTGAAAGTCACCTGAACGTCTGTCAACAGAGGAATCTCTTTCTAAATAAAGTATAGTTGCGTACAATATTACGTAAGTTACAGGAGTGCAGTATAGTGACTAGTGATTTTGAAAGGTTACATCCATTCATGTTGTTATAAGATATTGGTTACATTCGCTGTGCTGTGCACTATATCCCTGCAGTTTATTATGTACACAGTAGTTTGTATCTCCTCATAGGGACACAGCTATGGAGGCTACAAGATGCCCACATCATAGATCACTCTGCAGGCGTCTGCATGAACGAGGTGTGCTCGAGTATGTTCGGATCTGAGTCAACAAGTGGAGGTCACCAACCCCTATCGTTAGGTGATGAGCAAGGTGAGAAAAAAACTCAGTAAAATACGATTTCTTTAAAAAACATACAAGATTTTGTACAAGTATCCAAATGTGTATACACCCGGACATAGATATGTATATTACATATTTGTGTATATCTGTGTGTTAGTCACCCAGTCATGTCTGACTCTTTGTGACCCCATGGACTGTCGCCCACCAGGATCCTCTGTCCATGGGATTCTCCAGGTCAGAATACTGGAGTGGGTGGCCATTCCCCTCTCCAGAGGATGTTCCCGACACAGGGATCAAACCTGCGTCTCCTGTACCGCAGGCGGATTCTTTACCGGCTGAGACACCAGGGAAGACTATGTATATATAGATTAATAAATATTATATATATATAATTAAACATTGATACTATGTAGTATTGATATGCATTTTAATATCATATTAATATTACATATTGTATGTAAAGACTTCTGTGTGCCACGCTTGTGCGCAGTCACTAAGTTGTGTCCGATTCTTTGCCACCCCATCGACTATAACCCCCCAGGCTCCTCTGTCCATGGGATTTCCCAGCAAGAATACTGGAGTGGGTTGTCATTTCCTCCTCCAGAGGATCTTCTCGACCAAGGAATAAAACTCACGTCTCCTGCTTGGCAGCTGGATTTTTTACTACTGCGCCACTTAGGAAGCCCATATAAAGATTGGACACTTACATATCCAGGTAATGACAGCAATTCCTTCTGGGAATTCCTAGGATAAATTGTAGGCATGTTGAAAGGGGATGTGAGTCTTATGTTTGACTTGTTAATATATTATCTGGATGATGCACCAATATAGTGCTTGCATACTTTAAAATTACAGCACCTATGAGGACCTCACAATAAGATTCTACAAATAATTGCTTTTCTTCCACACACTTGGGGTTTCCCAGGTGGTACAGTGGTGAAAGAATCTGCCTGCCAATGCAGGAGACGCAAGAGGCATGGGCTCAATCCCTGGGTCGGGAAGATCCCCTGGAGAAGGACATGGCAGCCCACTCCAGTATTCTTGCCTGGGAAACCCCGTGGACAGAGAAGCCTGGAGAGCTGCAGTCCATGGGGGCCCCAAAGAGTCAGACACGACTGAGCGACAGGGCAGAGCAGCAGGGCACACACTTGATGCCCACTCCCAGAGAAAGGCATTGAGAGAAACCAAAGCGGAATGAATGCAGTCCAGAGATAAAGAAGTCATTATATTTTAAAATACGAAATATGACTGGTCATTTTTCAGTTTAAAATATGTGTAAACTTGCATCGGTCCATTATCACGTATCCACCCCTACACACACAGACACACACACAGTCCCGCAAATGGTCTTAGGGACAAAAGCCACCCCCTAGGTAGTCCCGTCTACTCCCATGCAATCTGGGCCCCTCTGCAACTCTCTGGCCAAGCACTCCTGTAACTCATCCGTCACCAAGGACGCCAGGGAGCTGCCTGAGCAGACACACAGCGCTGCGAGGCCATAAACACATCCTAACAAGAGAGGAAGACCGAGAACAGGGGATGGTAAGGGGGAGAAAAGGAAAGGAAAAGAGTAAACATCCCGCTGTATAGTAATTATACCCAGAAGTATGATTTGTACTGGGAGTTGGCATAAATCTCATCGCAATCAGCTCTCCTGACACCAAAACAGAGTTGAAAATGAACTCCATTTAATTCTTTCAGAGTGGGGATTAATTAGGAGAAAAAGTGAACAATTTGGCTTTTCACCTGAAGTGTTGTAGGCAATGTGTGTGTGTGTGTGTTTTAACTGTCTCAACAAATTTTATCCTTTTCTTAAGAAGGCTGCAATAAAAAAAAAATGCAACAAATTGAATCCCCCCAAAAATGCCAGTGGAGGGGCCCTGGACCCAAAGCCAGCTGAGCCTGTGTAGTCACTCGTGGGCACCAGGACACCTGGGTGGACAGAGGCCTGTTAACAACACACAGGCTCAGTGCCAGGAGCGAAGGGCTGCAGACCTGAGGTCAGGAGCCTGCTATTTATACTGCAGGAGAAAAGAGTCGTTATCATCCTCGTACCCTTAGGGACCAGCAGCATCAAAGAGCCCCCAGCAGAGCGGAGCAGAGACCAAGTTCTTGGCCTGCCTCTGATACGCCATCGTTAATTTTCTGCCACCAAATGCCTTTCTTTAGAGGATCTCTGAATACACTGGCAGGTGAGCACGTGTGTTCCCTGGATGGCTGTGTCTGCCAGGCAGGTGAATGTTATCACAAGCACAGGGAATGGGCATGGGCACACACAGAAGGTTGCTTCCAAGTGCCTGCGAAGCAGTTTTTTGTGTGTTTTAATCTGTCCACGTTCACAGGGGCTAGAGCAGAGGCCCGGGGCGAAGAGGGCCTTCCCCTACACAGCCCAGGAAGTGAGCCAGATGTGCAGGCAGAGACGCCCACGGGCTTTCGGGGACAACACCCAAGAACTGACTCCAGTTGGGGCGTCTGCCCCTGCTGTCCTGCACCCCCGGGGTGGGGCCGCCATGAGGGGATGGGGGCAGTCCCGTGTCTGGGTACCTGGGAGGGAGAAAGGTGACATGCTGAGGGTGCGAGCCTCCTCCAACTGCCTTGGGGTTTAAAAAGAAGCCAGGGGCTTCCCTGATGGCTCAGGGGCAAAGAATCTGCCTGTCAACACAGGAGACACGGGTTCAATGCCTGGTCCAGGAAGATCCCACCTGCTGCAGAGCAACTAAGCCCATGAGCCACAACTACAGAAGCCCGAGCACCTAGAGCCCATGCCCTGCAACCGGGGAAGCCACTGCAGCGAGAAGCTGGCGCACCGCAGCTGGAGAGCAGCCCCCACTCTGCAGCCAGAGAAAGTCTGAGCACCAACAACGACCCAGCTGAGCCAAATGTAAACAAATGAACAACTTAACTAATCAACTTAGAAAACAGAGTGAGGCTCACCCAGCCAGGAACCGCTGAGACCGAAGGACCCCTGCAGAGAAGAGCCTGGCCCTACAGGAATGAATGGATGGATGAGGGAGCCAAGGAAAATACATCATCAAACGCAGACTGGCAGCTGCCTCCCCAGGTCCGTCCTGCGGCAGAGCTGTAGCTGGACGCACTCCCGGCCTCCCTTGCGGCTGGGTGCAGCCACGGACTGGCTCTCCCGTGTGGAATGTGGACAGATGGGACACGTGCCGACGCTGGTCCAGGCGCGAGCTCCTTCCTGCTCCCTTCTCTTCCCCGTGAGCTAGGGCACTAATGTGCTCTGTGATCCAGCTTTGGCCACACCCAAGGTGAAGGCGGAACAAGAAGCGGAAAGGACCCAGGGCTCCCGAGTGACTGCATGCATCAGAAGGGCCCGGAGAAATAAAGTTTTATGCCTGATTTGAAAAAAAGAAAACGCAGTCAGACATGACAAAAATGTACCCGGTGTTATGTCAAACCCGGGGCTCCTAGGCACACCTGTAGGTGTGTCTGGGACGAGAAGTTTCCCCTCCTTTCTCTGCCCACCCACCCTGACTGCCTTTCCCAGCCTGCCTTGCAGCTGGGTCTGGTCACTTGACTGAGTCCTCCCCTGCAGAAGGGGATGTACGTGGGGACCCCGTGGAGTCCTCCTTGCTCTTTACCCGGTGAGGAGGTAGAGTAAAACATGGGAAGCAGCACAGTGGAGATGGCAAAACTCACTTTGATGTACCCGCTCCCAGCCTACTAGCTTATTACACTGGCATGAAGCAGACATTTATTATGGATGAGCCTTTATCTATTAAGGCTCCGCTTGCCTGGGGCTTCCCCGGTGCCTCAGGTGTTAAAGAATCTGTCTGCAATGCAGGAGATCTGGGGTCCAGCCCTGGGTCGGGAAGATCCCCTGGAGAAGGGAACGGCTATTTGCTTCAATATTCTTGCCTGGCGAATCTCACGGACAGAGGAGCCTGGCAGGCTATACAGTCCAGGGGGTTGCAGAGTCGGACGTGACTGAGCCACGAACACACGACACTTCATCTACCGCCGAGTCTACCTGCTACAGCAGCTCTCCTGCCCTGAGCTCACGAGTTATCCAGCCTGTTCACAGTTACCAAAGAGCATGTGAGCTTGTTGAGGACATACATGAACGCGCTTCTCCGCGTGAAAGCGGAATGAGAAACAGAAAGAAGTAGCTCTGAATTTGTGTCCAAACACCAGGAAACACAGAGAGCGGAGAGTGGGAGGCAGGACCCGCTGAGTTAAAGCTGAGTGGGGGACTTCCACAACACGGGCTAAACAACAGCACCACCCCCACTGAGACCTCAATCTCCCCTGCTCTAAACGGGGGGCCTGCACCCTGTGAACAAGGAAGACTGGCAGCTCTAGTCTCCAGGTGTCTGTGTCAGAGCGCGAAGTGTCACGTGGGCGGGGGAGCATCTCCCAGCCATTGTTTCTGAAGCTCTGAGTGGCAGGGCACAGCTCCAGGGGGGTCATCAGGATGGCTGAAGGTGCTCCCCTTCCCCATGACAGGCTCTGCCTGTCAACCCATCCAGGGGAGAGTCTGCCACTCTCATAATGACCCGGGAGGACTCAGGAGTGGGATGAACATGGTAAGTCCTTCGCACCCTCACCCATGTTCTCTCTCAGATTCTGCCGTTATTGTCCGATACCTGAGAACCCCGAAGACCATGCCACTGGCTGCATCCACCTGTTGCTTGAACAACTGCCTCTCCAGCTGAACCTCACGGGCGATGTTACTGAACTCAGGTCCAGCTGCTCATCCCTCGACAGCCTATACTCGAGAGGCAAGCGTTGATAGAAAATAAAGGTAGCTTTCTTTCACAGGCTGGCAACTGGGGGAGAAGCCAGACTCGTGTCCAAAGGCCAGCTTCCCACTAATTATCAGGGGGCAGGAGCTTTTAAAGGGGGGTTTCAAAGGTGCAGAGGTAGACGGAGGGGCTACACGCAGAACAGCACCGTCCCCTCTCACCTTGCAATTGGCCATCGGTGGTCTGGTGGTCAAGCATCATCTTGATTGTTTTATACAGTCAGCCTTCAGTTCCGGGGCTGGTTTGTTGGCATTTCTTCGTGGCCAGTTCTCAGAACTGCGGCGGCCTTTGTAACGGCTACTGGCTGGTCATCAAGTCACTAACTTCTCCCACCTGGGGGAGGTTTCAGCATCTACACAGCAGCTCAGGATGTTATGCACAGCCCTTGGGGAGGATCTAGAGGTCCTTGACTTTACTTAATGACTCAGCCATTATTATTTGGTCTTGTTTCACTCATTCCTTTGCTTCTGCGTTTTCTCGGTTCTCCGATTAAACTTACACTCTGGCTGAAGTCTGTCTACAGACAAGCAGCAGGAGAAGGACACTCTGGCGGGGGCGGGGGGTGCGGTCTGTCCCAGGAAAGTCCACGGGGTCCTGCTCTGTGTTAGCAACGGGAAGTCATCTCCTCTTGCGGGTCACCCCTGAATTTAGAAGCGATGTAAGGAAAAGCTTAACAAAGAGACTTATCAGAGTCGGCCTTCTTATAACTTCTTTATCATCCGAAATTTAGAAGGAAGATCGTATCTGGGTTCTGTTTGCTTTATTTTTTTACTGCTGGGAAAACCCTCGAGGCTCTCGCACTGAGGGTGGTTTTCGAGGCGCTGCTTAGATGCACAGCGGGCGGGGAGCTGCTTCTAGAAGCAGGCACGGATGAACACAAGGGCAAGACAACTAAGGAGGGCTGCACTGGCAGGACCCTCCACCCACAACGGGCCAAGGCTGTGCTTGGCCGAGTGGTGGAAGAAAGCTTGCAGCCACATTTGGCTCGCCTTTCAGAAATCTGCCCAAGGAGAGGCTAAAATCCTTGAAAAAGACAGAGGGCCATGGTCCTCCCGAGAGCAGCTTAAATCAGCCCAGCCTTGGGGAACTGCAGAAAAAGACGCCCAGCCAAGCAGCCTGGATTCCTGAGTCAGGCAGGCAGTGCCGGCGGGTGCCCACTGGGAAGCCAGGGAGACTGGGGACGCCTCTCCCTGCCCCGGCCCCGCCTGGTGTGTCTGTGGGCTTCCCAGGTCACACCATCCTAGGCTCACAGTCCAAGGAGTCCCCTGGCAGGAGGGAAAGAAGGGCGCAACCTGTCATCCACACAACCACGACTTCCTCCTTCTTCATGTTACCCTCAGATTTCGTAACTGAGACAGCATCCTGGTCAAATACACAGGCTCTGAGATCATCCCTGTCCTCGTCCATTCACTGCGTGTGTGACCATTTACTTAATATCACCTGTGCCGCATGTGCTCAGCCCTAAAACAATACCTGCAACAAGACGATAACAGGACCTACGCAACAATGACTATGACACTATATAACCCAGGGGTTTCCCTGGTAACTCAGCTGGCAAAGAATCCGCCTGCAATGCAGGAGACCCTGGTTCAATCCCTGAGTCCGGAAGATCTGCTGGAGAAGAGAGAGACTACCCCCTCCAGCATTCTTCAGCTTCCTGGTGGCTCAGCTGATAAGGAATCCGCCTGCAATGTGGGTGACCTGGGTTCAATCCCTGGGTTTGGAAGACCCCCTGCAGAAGGAAAAGTCTACCCACTCCAGTATTCTCGCCTGGAGAATTCCATGGACTGTACAGTCCATGGGGTTGCAAAGAGTCGGACATGACTGAGCAACTTTCACTTTTACTTTTTCACTATATAACCCAATGCATATAAGTACTAAATAGGCCACAGTAAGCACTTAAATGTATCCATAGTGGTGATGGTGATGATGATGACTTTTTCCTCCAAGAAGGTTTGATTTCTCCATCAAACCTGTTTATATGATCTTTCCTAAGACAGGATGAAGAATAGAGTCTGTAGAAACCTCTCAGGGCCTTCTGTTCAGGCTACTGTGAAACCACATCCCACTGTCTCATTTTCCAGCACATTTTTCTCCTTCTTATTCATAACCACACCATGGAGCAAAGAGGCTTGGCTGAACTCCACAGATGCCACTGGAGTAGCCTGCAGGCCAAAGAAGGCTTCTGGGCCAAATAAAGTTTAAGTTTTAAACATTAATTGCCAATGCTGTAC